AGACCGACGATATTATGTTTAATTCTTGACAGCAGAAACTACTTTTGTCCCTTTTTTTAGTTTTGTAGTACAGCGTCAAAATATGAGCGAGTACTCGATCGAGTACCACTCTCGCTCACCACTCTACTGGCCAACAGTAACGCAAGCATTTGATGATTCAGATGCCGGTTTTGATTTAATGCGGCATAAATATATTTATCTAGGGTTTAGCCTTGTTGTTCCAACACCCCTCTCCCCAACTCTTGACTCGGGTCCTGAACAGCGAAATCGTTAAGCTTAAGCAACATTTTGATATACCAAACTGCCAACTTTGCGCAACAAGCACATTGACTCTTCCGTATACGAATTTAGGTAAAACAATTAAAAAAAAAATTGTGGCTTGTTTATCAAGCTACAAAATTGACTTCAACTTTTTTTTCTATACAGGGAGACTTCGAAGTTGAGTCATTTATTTTAACAGTGAGTAGATCTGATCAAAAGCAATGTTTTTTCCTTTACCATTTTTCTGGTAAAATTAAAGTAACAAAGTTATAGCCCTTTGGAAGTTTGAGTACCGCCTGTCTCAATAATAATATTATGTGCTCGTGTTTGGCAACAACGGATATAATCCGCCTTATCGGTTCATCGCATCGGAAACAAAAAAGCGAAAGAATTTGGAACGATGTTTTTACAATTATTTTATTCAGTTGTATACAGTCAGTGTCAGTCGGTAACGCGTGAGTGAATAGTGGTATCTATTGCGTGGCTCAAACGAAATCAAAAATGGCACATGTTTACGAAAATGCTGAACTTGTGGACGTGATTCTTATTTACGCGGCATCACGGATTTATGCGGATCGGTTTCCCAATCGAGTGCAACCAACCCCTCGTGCCTTTGTTAATGTAGTACAAAGGGCTCGTGAATCAGGTGACTTAAGATCTCACAGGGGAGGGCATGCCGGTGCTCCAAGACCGCAAGATCAAATACAGGTCCGCACCGAAATACTTGTCGGGAGGATACTTTATAAAACAAGGTAACATTTTTTTTTAATTTTCTTTTTATTTTTACACACATATTTTGGTTTATCTTCCTTCTACAATCATTATCTGAAAATTAATGACTCAACTTCAAAGTCATCCTGTATATAATATTTACAGGGCCGTAGCAATAAAAATCTAAAAGTTTCTCAAACAATTTTTTGTACCTGCCAATCGCAGGGTCCTGAACTTTTTGTTATGCTGAAGAAAACTATCTACTGTAGTTACCTAAATCCACATTGTCATCCATTCTAGAATTTTTGCAAGGCTTTGTAAAAAAATTGTGTTCGCTTACCGGGTATTACAGGATAGTGTCAGTAAAATCTAACCGCAAGTTTAGCACGTAAAAATATATAAAAAGCTTCATATAGACATTGGTTCAGTAATTCCTGGGTTCAATGATACGGAGTATTCAAAATTTTCGGGGTTAAAATTTGTTAGCCACTACTAAATAAGTGTCCCTTTTTTATGCTTGTCAAAAAAATACCATTTCTATTATTGTCTTCTTAATAACGATAAACAGGAGTTTCTCTTCCAAAACTAATATGCTCAAAGATATAAAAAGATAATTTGTTGAATGTTGATTCCCTTAATCAACAACAGGGCGGCTACATCGAATCAGATATTCATCCTACATCAGTACTGATATGTTTTATATTAAGGTGCTTCCAAATTTTCCACATCCCACGTATTTCCGTTATTCTCAGATGTTTGTAGGCCTCTTCCGGATTATAATAATAAATGTACATCCATATTTGAGAAACATAATAAATTCATGGAATGAGACGAGGGATATTTCCGTTTACAAGTCATCAGGTAATTAACAAGTCACAAAGAAAATATGAGAAGAAGAGGACTCGAAGCTTTGTTTAAGTCTTCAATATGAATTAGATATCTTACGAAATAATCTGAAAAATCTGAAGTTTTCTATAAGTTATCTGACTTTCAAATAATTCGAATATATGATTCTGATCTAAGTACGAACAATGCCAGGAGGCCATTTGTTTTGTGTTGTAAGCATTGAGAATACGATCTAGAACGAAAACGTCCCGTAAACTGAAACTGTGCTACTTGAAAATTTCTGTCATTCAACTTGTTCATTCCAAGGTTGAGCTTAGACCCAGCCTGGAGTACTACTGATATGTTTTGGAAGCTGCTCCATTCAATCTTAAGCTTTGCCGTTGGGGAAATTGAAGAGCGGGGAGGGGGTGCACAGGCTTTATTTGAAATTTTGTTTGACTTTTGAACATTTGGAGGCCATTTATCAATCTGGGGCCCTGGACACAGATCCCATGTGTCCTCCGGGGTAAAGACGATATAGACTTCATACTTGTAATAGTTTAGAAAAAATCTATCCGACTGAGAGGTGACATTTTCTTCTTAAGAGACATAGTTGTGTCCGTTTTACACATAATCCTGAGATTACTATCACCCTATTCAAGTTTGCTCAGCTTATTGTATTTTCTTTCCGTATTACAATGCCCTACAGTAAGGCTAGCTCCGCAGTTCTTTTTGAACTCTGAAGTGATCCAGACATTCAGTGATTTGACAGGCTCCTCTGTGTTTCGCTGTGTTACTTTCACAACGAACGCAACTATACACTATTCGTAGTCCATTTACCCCCGGCACAACAAAGATGCAAGGCGGCAAGGTGGCAGCTGCCTAAGCGTTGCAATAGCTATTGGTCATTCGGCCATAAAACTATGAACAAGTGCAGGATAGAACTCAGGCTCGGAACATCGCCGGCACGCCGACGCCGACAGTTGCTATTCATATTCGGTGCATACATAGCGATAGCGTGTGTTCATACGTTAGCATGTCGTCTACGGGTACAGCAGATGAAACTGAGAATATTTCTCCCAATGCTTCCTTCAGCCATGCTTCCTCTTCAGTGATGTCTCCTCCTCGAAAACGTGACAAGAAGGGAGCATTTGAATAGTCAGGCAAAAGAAATTGATCTTAACGTTTATAAGAGCATCCTGAAATGAAAATTCATGACATTGAAAGACGTGAGGCGAACAAAACAGGCTTATGCCCTAAGAATATAAAACAAAAACAAAAAATTGTCTCCACCACACAAGACGCTGCATTACACAAAGCTGTTGGTGACAGTTTGTATAACTTTGAACGGACTGCCCTGAGACGCAAAGTTCATCAATTTTTTGAAAGGCAGGAACTTAGTTAGACAAAGTATTACAGGAGGTTGATCACTAAGACTTACCTACTGTCAAAAGGACCACATTCTATACTTTACTCAAAGAACTTCATTTTGAGTATGAAAAACGGGGAAGCAATACTATTTTTATGGACAGCCAAGAAATTATTTTATAGAGAAGAAATTATTTAAAATCAGGGCAGGAAGATTTATTACGACATATAAAACCTAAAGAATGGGCTGACTCTACAATAAAGCCAGCAAGACAAGCCTTCTTAGATGGACTAACCAATTCATCATTTGCTTAGCTATATCTGGTAGATTAGGAACCAACACCTGTTAGATACGCTGCTTGTATTATTATTAGCCTTCTTGAATACTATATGAAATAATTATTTCCAGGAAAAGGAAAACGATTTAATATCTATCAAATAGGCAGTGAAGATGGCTTTGTGCCCACTGCCCTATGAGCATTTGAGTCATAGAAAACGACCGACTACCATGAAGAAATGGATGGGAGTTCATTTGAACGATGGTTTGAAGAAACTATCCCAAAGCTTGACGACAATGCCGAAAATTCCCACAATTTCCTCAAGAAAAGCAGGAATTCAACAATTGCTCCTATCAAAAGACATTAGTTTCAATGAAAATATGGTCAAACCATCTAGCCAGGCAGCACAAATATAAATATAATCTTAATGTTATTGACGAAATCACTAAAAACCAAAATCAGATCGTTTTAAGGCTACCCCTTTATAACTGCTAATTAAATCCCATTGAAATGATTTGGGAAAATATAAAAAACTATGTGGCTTCAAACAATAGAACATACAAATTTTCTGACATGAAACATCTGTCTTATGGAGCTGAAACAGAGTGACAGCAAAGAAAGATTGCATCCGACACGTTCAAGAGACAATCGATACAAAGATGTGGGATCTGGTCAATATGATCGATATTCAAATTGGACCTGTAATAATTAATATTAACCATTCAGACGATGATTCAAGTACTTCCAGCAAAGACAGAAGTGTGAAAAGTATGTCCACTTCTTTCTATAAAAATAATCATTTATTTTGATAGATTATTCCAAGACCATTGAGGAAAATACGAACCTGCACAATCTGGTTTTTGGGCATGTTGTGTTTTGTCTGGGCGTAAATGGACTACGAATGAGGTATTAACTTCGCCATAATATGGAAGGTTTAAAAATAAAATTACTCTATTATTATTATATTTTTGTTAATGTGCATATTTATTGTATTTTTTAGTGGTACCTACCTTTTTCTTTTAAATTGTATTGTACTTTAATTGTTTTGTATTTTAAACAGTGACAAACTTTTTCTCTTTGTGACGTATGTATATTGCACTTGTGATACTAACATAAATAAAGAAATGAAATGAGTGAAATGAAATGAAGTTAAACGCTTGCCAAACGGACCTGTTCGGCTTGTACTTCTTTTTTGTAACTCCATTTTGTTCATGAAGAAATAGACGCTACAATCGTTATTATTCCTGAGTTATAGAGATTAAAAAACAATTGGTATGAAAAACATTGCCTCAGCATTACTGTCCTACGTAAGCAAGTTATCATTAACGTACTCTGGTCTTTACGATTTGCCCTGCAGGCAAAAGAGAAAAAATGCCACCTAGTGTCTTTGCTCCGTGTCGAAACTGCTTTTAATGCTTTGCCCTAGCAGTATAAATAAATGCTAAATATCTTAAAGTTGAAAGTTGGGAAACCCCTAAGACTTAAGTTCTCCCACCGCGCGCTACCACTGATCGCAGCCAGGATCTCATCCTGTTATAAATTTGTTAGAAAGTTGCACAGCACTGTCAGTTCAACGCAGCTCCGTGTCGCGTGTTGTGTTCCACACGAAACACGAAGATAAAAAAACCGCGACTCCGACAGCGCGCGAACGCGAAGCGGATCGCGATAAGCTTTTTTTGACTGTTTTCTCTGTTAAAATCGTCGTTTCAAAATTTTCTGTGAGTCTGAAGGAAGAGAAGCTTGCCAAGAACCTGAAAGCACATGGTGAACTGAGTTAGTGATTTACTCCTGCATCAAAATCATCTACGGCACAGACTCTTCAACTTTTTCTCATCTAGTGCTACATGTCAATAGGTAGATAACTCATCCCGAAGGACTATCTAAGTCTAAGGCTTTGCATGAAATCTACAGTTGTTCCGGCCCTGAAGTAACTTGCCGACTAAAGCTGTCTGCCAGCGTTCACCCTCAAGACTTTAACAGAAGGCTCTTGGAGCAGATCGAAAGTTGAAGACTCTGGAAGTGCATTTTGGGAAAAATTTGTACAACGTAAAGTGTGACCAGCTGTGTTTTTAACTGTGTTAGTGTGACATTGAAAATCAGCTTAAAGTAAAGTTATTCATGTTGATAATCCAACACCTCAACACAACCTTTCCCGACAATTGGATTTAGACTTGACAACTAGATTTCAACATACCTCAAGATGGATATAGAAGAGTTCAGAACCAAAGGCAAAGAAATGGTGGACTACATCTGCCAATACATCACCAACCTGCCAAACCAAAGAGTGACACCTGATGTGGAGCCAGGTTATCTGAGACAGTTGCTTCCAAACGAAGCACCTGTGGAACCTGAAGATTGGGATGACATCATGAAAGATGTGGAGAAGAAGATTATGCCTGGTGTGACACATTGGCAGCATCCTGGTTTTCATGCATACTTCCCCAGTGGAAACTCCTTCCCGTCTATATTGGCTGATATGCTGTCAGATGCTATTGGATGTATTGGATTTTCATGGGTAAGTTCAACAATCTTCCCATACTTACGGAAATTTAAAATTTGGATATTTTCATCATATTTTGAGGAGGAATATTCTGTAAGGGCAAAGCAAAAAAGAACAGTAGTGGCGGACCTTTGAGCAAAAAAAAAACAGATTGTTCCAAATCTTAGACTTATTTTTCAGTTATATATTCCTGAATCTGTCAGCAAAATCAAGTAAATATCTAATCGTCATTCTAAAACTATTTTACTCGTCTTTTGTATTTCAAATTAGTATTCAGTCATTATGCTCGGAAAAAATGATTTGGTTTCTTGCATATTCTTATTTAAAAAGGGCGCCAATGTGCATGTTGTTAGGCCAAGAATTGTATAAAGAATTGTTAAAGACATTTTTAAACCAGTTGTTTTCTCTCAACATCGCGTTTTTGGTTCGATAAGACCAAAAAAGGTGTTTGTGAACTTTTGTCCAAAGTTGGTAGTTTCAGAGATATAAGCATTTCAATATTTGAAAAACTACAAATTTTTGACCCCGAACGCAATATGAAAAAATTTTAATGTCGTCAAAGTTCCTAAATATTCCTCTAACAACTATTAACAAAATCTCAAAGTATTTTGAGGGTATTGTTATTGTCACCCTTTGTTTTCACGATTTAATTAAGAACCAAGATACGTATATTCTGCGTGAGTGGGAGAGAGATGTAAATGGCTGCCGCCCCATGCTGCACCTTTTCTGTCGCGTTCCCGAAAAATATCTTGCTGTTTAGTTAACAATTAAAATAAATCTTCAAGATTTCAATTTTTCCATATACTTTTTGGCTTACTATTTGAAAACTATTAACTTTGGAGAAGAGTGTATTAAAGCCTTTTTTGTGCAAAGTGACCCAAGAAATATAAAAAATACTTGAGAATTATTGGAATGTGTCCAAAAAATTTGTTTAAACAAATCTTGTCACAATATTCGGCCTGGCAAGACGCGATTACTACTCGAAATAGTTTTTCCTTGGATACGAATCAGAATATTTTCCTAAGATACTTCCTGGACTAATCGGGTGTAATCATAATCTTTTTAATTTCAATGTATATGGGAGGATATGGATGGGTGAATATATATCTATATATATATAGGTGAAAAATTAAAGCTTCCGCCTTTTGTTGGGTACTTCGACAAAATTTAAGCAAGGAGGACTCTTTATACTTTTTTATTCTCTCTAGCTTTCAATGGTCTTTGCCATCATCATCAGGAGAGTAGTATGTGAGGATGTTGCTAATTGTTGTTTACGTTAAGGATGAGGGAAACACCCAGTAACATGGTGAAAGCTGGATAAATGGTACAGTGGTCAAAATTATATAAAATACACACAGCTGTATGACAAGAACAAGTTAAAAACAGATTAAAAAATTTTTTAGAAAATGAAAGTTAGGCATTACATCGTGAAGCAACTTGATGATTGCACAAAATGATGGGCATGGCATTTGTGTTTGTAGCCACGCGTTCCTGATATCAGTTGACCAAATTGTCAGTTTCAAACTATGATTTCTTGATTTGCTACGTTTTGATTAATATTTTAAGATTATATTAATAAGATCTGTTGATTTTTGTAGTGAAAGCCGGGAGCACGCCCAAGGCAGTGAGTACACATATTAATAATTTCATCAGATGTGTATGTTCCAAATGAATCATGATATTATACTTTATTTGGATGGCTTATTTCCATAATTTGTCGATTCGCTCAAGGTTTTTTGGCAGAACGATGAAATCTCAAATACCGAATATTCACCCAGATTCATATCGGCAGAGGTGCAATTCAGATTTGTGTAAAGTCTGAAATGCAGGAGTATCCTATGCCCAAAAATTGCTCACAAATATTGTTAAGGAAAAACTCATGGACCACGTCAAACCATACCGAAAAAAAAAACTGCTAAACTGTAACGTAAAGTCGTTTAATAAATTTTAGAGATCATTCTTAATTGTTACCACTATCAAATAACATCCACGGGCGCCAGCAGGATCTTTTCTCGGGGAGCCAATCATCGGCGAGAGACAACCTTTTGCGAAACCGTCCCCTCTAAAACTTGTTGTTGAGAGGCGGGGGGTAGCTTGTGGGGGAGTGCAAACAAAAAACAAAAACTGTACACAAAATCATGCCAAATATGAAAACGTGAAAATGTTGAGGTCCACCCAGATTCTCTTGGGGGGCGGGGGTTGAAGTGGTGAAGGGAGAAACAATCGGTTTGTGCTTCTTCTGCATCAAACTGTAGAAATATGCAACATTTTTCAAGATAACTTACAATATTCTTCTGTCGGAGGGTGCATGGACAATATACACGAACGCATTTCATTTAAAATTTCAATGTAAGTTAACTTCATGCACTGTGCGACCTTGTCCTTAGCATTCAACTTATTCACTGATGTAATCAATTTACAATTATGCAATGTGCGGAATTATATATGCTGAAACTGGAATTAGTGATATACGCACGGATACTTACATCATTGAAACTCTGAGCGCAATTTTAATCTGTTAATAATTGTTATAAATGCGAATCATTGAACTCTCAGTAATACATTAATAGAAAACACGATCATGCAAGCAACTGTTGCACGTTTCTTGCATTAAACTGAAAAACGTCTCAAACATTAAATGGCAATCGGGGTATTCTGAAATTAACGTAAAAAGTTCCTCAGTCACCCTGGTAACGAAGTAGCGAAATATCAGTTAAATTTGTACCATTGACTATCGTATTCTACTAGAAGATAACAAACCTAATGCTATATTCCCGAGTCCAAAATAGTATCCTAGTTAAAATGAGATACCTAATAGGTATATACATATAGTAAATAGAAAAACAGTGGTGACAAATTCTCATAGATGGTGCCATGGCATCTCATTTTATTTTAGGTAATTTTGTGGACGCGGGAATATAGCATTGGTTTGCTATCTTCAGGTAGAATGGTGATACCGATAATGATTGACTTTTGAAAGCATAGCGAAGGTTTCTGTTTTGGTAGAGTCTGACGGTATTCTGGACCAACCAGAATTTCGAAAATTCCGAATAGCAGACAGCTTTAAATAATATTTATAATCAATGAGCAAAATGCAAAATCTGGAAAAGTTCACCTAGATTAAAGCTTACACGGAAAATTATAAAAATTGACGTTATTCTTTTTACATAGATTTGATACCAGATCCGAAACATTTCAGCTTGACTGTAGTTTTTATTAACACTCTGTCAAAAAATTAGCACAGTGCAGTTTGCTAAGTAAATATTTTCCCTATCATTTTTGTTATATAACTTGTTTATAATAGTTTATCTCCGGATTCATGGTACTGAACATGCCCACTTTAACTATGTGATATGAATATTTCTGAGAGACGCATTGGTACTTGGAAAAACCATATTATTTTCCCCTAAACACTAAAAAGTTTTCCTTATGAATAAGTAAACAATATAATTAGCTGTAGTAATTCCTAGGACATTTAGGAGATATCACCCAAGGCGATACTTAATTTCGCAAGGGTGGGATATACCGGCATCTCTTTGTCTACTATAATGTTTACCACTACATCATATTTCGTTCATTTTACACTAGCTTTCTGTATCGCGGTTTCGTGGAACGGGTAGGTGGCGCCACTAGTAAATTTCCGAAACATGTAAGTTGGCTGCCAATTTGCTAATGCCATCAAAGATACAAAACGTGGCCGAAAGTTTATAGCAATACTTAAAAACAATGCTTTATGTTTCAAGCTACGAAATCGCGGGAAACCGCAAGAATAAAGCGTTTATATCGCTTCTTGACTGTCACAGGTTGAGTAGGGCGATGACAGGCCGCGCTGTTGCCGGCCTAACGCTGACGGTGGAGATTCTGCTACTTGCCACGACAGTTGATTGCAAAATCGACAATGAGTTCGAAGATAAACCCACGCATATAACCTTCCTCTGGTATCAGTGAATAAACAAATTTTTATGTCTCTCCGTATTGTAGTTCAGACGTGTTGCTGATAGACTGCACTGACATTGACATTTTTTATATATATAGATAATTTCATTCAATAACGAAATTATTTTACTGTTTGTTGAACTATTGTAGTTTTCAAAACATAAAAAGTATCAACAACGCTAACCAAAAGTGTGTGAAAAATCGTATACTATAAAAAAATTGGAAATATCAGAACATATTCACGTCAAAGTTAAAAACGGATTTTAAAAACAATACAGCATATAGCGGAAACGTGGTGACTGGGCTATTAAACGTGAACTGAGATCCCTACAGTTCCAACTATTAGCAGCTATGCACTTTCCGCAGTGTTCGATTCTGGCATGGTAGATGGCGCCTTGCGCTGTCATATTTCGAAAGACCGTTTACAAATCCAAACGTCTTAAGTTGATATACTACAACATTTTCATCTGTTAATGGAATCTCAGACCAATAATATTTTTATCATTTACCTAAAGTCAAATTTTCCATCCAACTAATGTGACAAGTTATCACAACAAGTTAGTGCATACACGCTAATATCTTGGAAAAACGGTGCCAATAGTTGTTTACATATTTCAATGCGTTGCCGCAATGGTATGTTAGACTTTTATACCAGAAGCACGTTTAATTTTTCCATGTATAGTCAGCTGAATAATTTTCTGAGAAATCATATCTTTTTGGTACCACGGGGCAATGGCTTAAAGCTCATGGTTTATATGTGAGTCAATGCAACATAATAAAGGATGAAGTATATTGACCTAAGAATTCAAATACATTACTCTGGCAGATTTTCCGCGATAATAATGTCGAAATTCGAAGTATCTGCTCAAAAAAGTATTTTGATTTTGTTTTTTTGCATGATCTTATTAGAGGAAAATTCACAAGAACGTGTTTTGATCACAATAATTAAAAAAACCTAAAAAAACCGGAGCAAAGAAAATAATCTTTTAATTCGTTTAAAAAATTGTTGAAACAATTTTTGACGCGTTATTGGATCTGTCAGCATGCAGATTCGTTAAAAGGGCCTTGTTGAATAAGATTATAGAATAAAAACGAATCATCATTTTTTCCGAGCAGATATAAAGACACTTCCTGAAGCAGTAACTTGTATCGCATAAATGAAGTGAACATGTTCAAGCGGCATTTTTATTTTTGGGAAATCACTTGCTTAACGGCCATTCTCTACTAAAATAAGATATTACCAAATCAAAATCTCAAAAGTGTGTCATAACACTGATTAGAGTATTCTACCTAAAGATAGCCAAACGAATACTATATTCCCGAGTCCAAAAAATCATCCCGAGATAAAATGAGATATCCAGCGCAATCTATGAGAACTATTGAAATCTTAGTTTTTTTCTTATCAAACACAAATAATAAAAATGTAGCAGGGTGTTATAGGTTTAAAATATTAACAATGAATATTTTGATAATATATAGTAGAAAACACCAACTTTATCACTCCCTAATCAAATTTGCAGCATAAAAATAACACATGTTGCAATTACAGCATATCAACCTATTTTCATTTCAATGCAAAATAATTCTATAACGCATAGATGGCTGTGAAAAATAAAAGCCATGACAATTGTTTTTATTGATCACAGCTGTCAGAATACGTTTAAAATAGTTTTGGGTAGTTAAATGGGTAGAGGAAAGGTTATTAGTGAGAAAATTCGGTTACTGATAATTGAATTTTTTAATTCTGGGAAATCAAACTCAGAAATTGCAACTTTGTTAGACTTATCGCAGTACAGTGTGAGAAATATTGTTACAAGATATAACGTAACTGGTTCAGTTCACGATATGTGAAAAAAAAAGTAATATCACAAATGGCGACCGAAGAGCATTAAGAAGAATAATCGTGAAAAACAGGCGTGCCAATTATTTACAATTAAGTGCTCTGTGGCGTGACGCTGTTGGAGGAGAATTCCGAGGTCCACAACTCATAGAGAGGCCCACAAACTGGGATTTAGCACTTACAGGGTAAGTTTTCTTATAAAAAAAGTGAAGTAAAAACCATAAAGTTGCACAACTTATTTATAGGCCAAAGAAAAGCCACTATTAACTCCACTGCAAAAGAAAAATCGGCTTCGATGGGCTAAAGAATATAGACAATGGACACCTCAACAATAATGTGCATTACAATGGAATGATGAGGCCAGATTCGAAGTTTGTGTTGGTGACAGTCGCAGTAGAGTTACTCGCAAAAAAAATGAAGTATTCCATGTTGACTGTCTGAAGAGAAAAGTGAAATTTCCAGCATCCATTATGGTCTGGGGCAGTATGTCATCAAAAGGAGCAGGAAAACTTCATTTTATTGATGGAAATGTGGATACAAACAAATATTTGGCAATTTTAGAAGAATCGCTTTTACCAGTGATGAAAGAATGTTTGACATCCGGCCAAGATTTTGTCTTTCAGCAAGATGGTGCAGCGTGCCATACCTCAAAAAAAGGCTATACAATGGATGGAAGAAAATAATGTACCACTTTTGAAATGGGTTTTTAGCAGTCCAGATCTGTCACCTATTGAAACTTTGTGGCACGAGATGAAAAAAGTTCTACGACAACATCCTGCTCGTACATCACCGAACTGAGACAAAAGCTTCAAGAAATATGGGATTGTTTTACACCAAATTTTTACCAACACTATGCCCCAAAGAATTTCAGCCGTAATAAAAAATAAAGGTGATGTTACCCAATGGTAATCTTTCAATTGTTGCTTTGTTAACTTCGCGCATTTATTCGCACATTGTTTATTTGTTCAGATACTATTAGTTATAGGTCTAAGTGATTTCAAATATGTATTTTTTACGACTAGAGTGTATCTAAAATGTTTTTGAGAAAATAAATTGTTTTAGAAGTAAATAGTTTCGTCATGTTTAGTTTATAAAGGCATATTTTGGTACAAATCTTGAAGAGGGCCAATTGAAGTGGGAAGGGGCTCGTATATCCTAAGAAGAACAAAATAGCGCTACCTGCATGAGCATATTCAAGCATCGAGGTAGATACAGCGCCATCCATGAGACACTAACTGTTTCAAAGTTTATATAGTAAAAACACATATGACAAATTGTCATAGATGATGCTAAGTTATTTTATTTTGGATAATTTTTTGGATGTAGAAATATAGCATTAGGTAGGCTATCGTCAGGTCAATCAATAAGCATAAAGTGTATCCTACGCGATAATAAATGCTTTTCCACCACTTTAAGACGTTTGTACGTTAATAAGTAAAGTTTAATTAGAGCCGCTTTATCAAAATTTCCCAGAATCGCTGGTCTCTTGTTAGATATTTGATTTTCCCGTCGTTCATTCCGCCCACTCGTCGCTCATATTTCATTAAATGCAGGACATGCTGTGGAACATGTGTCAACAGACAATGTCAGATGACGCACAATATAATATTGCAGTTTCATAATTAAAACTTTTCACGATGAACTTGAAGCGCCAACACAGTATTTATTTAATGAAAATATCTGATAATCGAAAAAGAAAGAGGTGGCAGCATAAAAAGTCAGACTCTTGATGTCTACCGTGCTGAACATTGTCAACTCTTTTTCAAGATTGGTAGGAAATTGAAAATCATTCAGGTGCGACGAATAACAATTTTTGAAGTTTCTCCATTGATTAAACCTTTCAGTTTAAAAATCAATGGTACAAATAAGAATAGAGAGTTTGGCTTTTTTGAACATTTAGCGGGCCTCACTTTGCTACAATTGTGTTTTCTATCAAAGCTTATGATGGTATAATATTCCCAAAGCTTTGCGTTGAGTTCACGTTTCGTTCTTGAGCTATTTGTGACTGAAGTTAGAATTTTTGCATTAAAGGGCCATAACTTGTATTACATGAAAACAGTCATCAAACTATGTATAGGGTATCAGCTCATATCAAACCAACCTCATCAAAATTAAAGTCTAAACTCAAAAATAATTGGAGTATTTAACAGCCCACCTAAAAACCTATGGGAAGATTCTACCTTTAACCACTCATAAGTCAAAAACCAAACATTAGCTCAATTTATGGCTTTGAAAGAATTAAAGATTCATCATAAACCACCTTTGGGCGTAAAATTGCAACAAGTTTACAAACTTTACCAAACAGACCAAATAAGATTCTGCGGTTGCCCTTTGTGTCGAGTTTGGATAGTCTATTTCCAGGATTTTCGGTTTGACGTGTTACCTGAATCGAATAACCAAAGTTTTATCTACAGCCATATTTCTCCGTCCAGCAGATCTGAAAGATATTAGCGCCATCTATGAGAACAGTAATGAGCTAAACAATGAATTTAGAACTCTACTTTGTAAAGAGTTAGAGTGTTTGGTTCTGCTACTGTGTCATAGATGGTGCTAGCGTACTTTAGGTTCACTTCTAGTAGAATAAGATAATAAATTCGCGTGCGGTATAGTGTTTTTGACCGAAATTAGAAAGAGATATTTGCGAGAACTTACTTATTCGAATTAATTATACCACTTAAACTGTAACTGCAGGATCCATCTCAAGCAATTTTTGTAATTGTTTTCTAATTAGATTTGTAATTTTTTTTTATATATATATATTTTTTGCTGTGTAAGGAGGGGGTAAGACGCAAAATGAGCTAGGTAGGGTTAAGTTGACAGATGACGGAACTTCGTATTCTTGTGTTGTTTCACTAATAAATCGTTTTATTATCATCATTATTATTATATGTTGAACAGTTTGACCTTCATGTTGTATATTGGAGTATTTCTCGGATTGGCATGAAAAACGCTTCACTGCATATTACAGCAGTTCATATTGAGGCATGTTCATCTTGTCACTTTAACTAATTCATGCCGCCCTGGCAATCTTGTTTATTAGACTAGTTAAGTAGTTTCTAACTTCTTACAAAAGCAGGTCGTGATGGGATTATAAACTTTTGTTTTCTATACTGATTAATTTTGCGGCAACTTGCAGTTCTGTACAAGGACTGCTCACACCAAATCCATCTAATCTAAAATCTTAGAGATTATACATAGGAACAGGATTAAAGGTTAAACTACTATATGCCTACGCGCAGCCTATAGGAAATGCGTTTAATTTAAACCAGAATATTGACTTTTTCAAAATAACTTTGAGAATGGTAAAGGTACAGTACAGATACTTATTATATAAGCTGGTGGTAGATAGCTACAGTGTAATGTTTTCATCTAACGATATTCGAATCTGGTCAAACTTCAAGGAAAAATTTCTTGAGTGATTATAAACACAAGTCTGCTAAGTTTTAGTTTTCAAGATAAGTGGGTGCAATGATTAACGTATTTTACCTGAAGATAGCCAACCATATACTATATTCCAGCTTCCAAAAGGGGGTGTGAAAGGTACTAGCGCTATCTATGAGTCAGTAGCGGATGGAGATCCTAGCGCCATCTAAAGGACAGTAGCAGAACCAAATGCTCTCACCCTTTTTATTGCAAATTATTTTAATAAAAGACGAATTTTCAAAAACAAAGGCCTATGTTTATCTGAATTTTCCTTCTCAGAGTTACCCATAATATCACCAGGTACTGGTGGACAAGCAATTATTCTTTGTATATATTCGGTTTCTTGGTTGTTTTAAATATATCAGTCTTATTATTCCTTTTTTTTCAGGCAGCCAGCCCAGCTTGCACAGAACTCGAGACCATCGTCATGGACTGGTTTGGCAAAGCCATCGGCCTGCCAAATGACTTTATCACCTCAGCAAAGAGCAGTAGAGGAGGTGGGGTAATCCAGACATCAGCCAGTGAATGCGTCTTAGTCAGCATGTTGGCAGCAAGGAACCAAGCGATTCAGTACCTCAAAAAGAACCATCCTAATGTAGAAGACAACGTGTTCCTTCCAAAATTGGTAGGATATTGCTCCAAAGAAGCTCATTCTTGTGTGGAGAAGGCTGCTAAGATTCTCTTGGTTCAGATCAGGATCTTGGAACCTGACGAAAATGGTAGCCTGAGAAAAGAGAATCTGCTGGATGCAATGGAAAAAGATAAAGAGAACGGTTTGGTACCATTCTTCGTCTCGGCGATTTTAGGATCAACCTCGAGCTGTAGCTTTGATAACCTCGAGGAGATAGGTCCAATCTGCAAAGCAGAACCTTGCACTTGGCTTCATGTGGACGCAGCTTATGCTGGAAATGCTTTCATATGTCCAGAACTCAAATACCTACTTTGCGGTATTGAATACGCAGATTCTTTCAACACAAATCCAAATAAGTGGCTTTTGGTGAACTTTGACTGTTCCTGTCTATGGGTTAGATGCAGAATGAAGCTCACCAGCGCTCTAGTTGTAGATCCTTTGTACTTACAACACGCAAACTCAGATGAGGCTATCGATTATAGGCATTGGGGCATACCTCTCAGCAGAAGATTTAGATCTTTAAAACTTTGGTTCGTCATAAGAAAGTATGGTCTTTCTGGACTTCAAAAATACATCAGAAACCATATCAAGCTAGCAAAACATTTTGAGTCACTTGTAAGGAAAGACCCAAGGTTCGAGGTAATAAACGACGTGAAGTTAGGCTTGGTATGCTTCAGACTTATAGCGCCTGACAATGTGAACCAAAATCTTCTAGCAACCATCAATGCCTCTGGTAAGTTGCATATGATACCATCAATGGTAAGGGACAAGTATATCATCAGATTCTGTGTCACAGCGGAAAACGCTGTCCAAGAAGACGTTGAACATGCTTGGACGGTCATCACAGAGCACGCTTATGAGTTGCTTGGAAGCATCCCTGTCAAAAAGGAGTTTGTCAGGCCACCTCTCACAAGGCAGAAGTCCAAAAGGTTCTCTTTCACAAGAAGTGTGTCCAAAGAGATGTACAAGAGGTCAAAAAGCAAGAGCAATCTCTACGATGGCGCGACACCTATCCTTGTGGCGGATAGTGATGAGGAGGCTGATTCCTCAAAACAGGATAATGATGATATTCTGGAGACTTTGGCTAGTATCACAGTGATGTCCGAGGATGATGACGTTTTTAACAAGGATTGTGAGGATGCTTACAGAATACAGCGACAAAGTGCGAAAGAAATCACTTGCAATGGAGTTTAATATTTAAGTCCTTCCAAAATAGCTCGAGACAATATTTGTAAGATATTTCTTTCTATTTATTCTCTCATTTTTGCACAATTTCACCGTAATTGCATCATCTTCGAGTGACATGGCTTTCATTAATTTCATATCTCGTATTCTTCCTTCAACTTGAATTTTTTGAAGGAAAGTTGGTAACCTTACTAGAAATGAGTCGAGAAGGTAACCTCAATGAGGACATTTTATAATAAGAGTGGTCAAAACAAAAATTAAATTGTATATAGATTAAAACAAGGCTTGGCATCCTCTGTTGTATTATAAGCCATCGTTTAATACAACAAAAAATGGTAAACGTGAATAAAAATGAATACAGACTACATGAGAGACATTGCATCTGTCGATATAAAGCGCTAGGCGGACACATTAGTCGAAAAATATAAAATTCTAGTTGTAAAAACACTAATTTTCTGCCCAATTTAGGCAACTTATTGCGAAATGGAGATTTTGCAACCAAATCAATTTTCGAGTATATCATATTTCTTCTTTAGAAATGCTTTTCGTGATCTTTGCGAAAACTTTTTTTGACCTGGCGTCTGGTTCCAACAAGGTGTAGGTTCTTTGAAGCAACTTGTAAAAAGATAATTAGGGAAAAATGTTATGTCCAACGCTGTTCAGTTTCTGTGATCTTTTGATACTAAAGTATTTCTAAGATGCAACTTGTATCTGAAAAGAAATGTGTTTGATTCTAAATCGGACTGAATAGCATGTCTATACATATTTTAGGTATTAGTGTACTTAATCGTAAGCTTTATTTGATGTATGTAGTATTTTTTATGTTTGTTGGAAAATTCAAGACCATACATGAGAATTTTTTGAGTGTTTCTAAACCATTGTCCTAGTTTTTCCAATAAGATGTATATAATTCAGTATTATTAGGTTTAGGTTTTTTATTTATTTTATGTGTAGTTTAAGGACCATTGAAAATAAAACATTTTTTTATAAAACGTCTCGCCTTTTATTGCATGGTAACAGTACCAAATCTGAATTTAGTGGTAAATCAACAAAGAAATATACACATTGATAAAAAAATGGAATACATAGTGACAATGCATAGAGGAGATGGAATATTCTTTATAGTACATGGCTTCCGGTCAAATTGGCTGAAATTTTAGTATGTTGTTATCCATACCAATCAAAGTGCACTATGGTTCTAATATCATCGGTTTTCAAGTTACAGCATGCTCAAACTTAATTAATTCGCCTTCTGTATTACACCTATTCTGGGCCATATACTATTCTACCAATTATATTAATGTGGTGTTGAGTCTTGAATTTGTTTTTTCCAGAGAGTCTTGTCTAACCCGTCCAGCAGATTCAGGAAGCGGTTGCAAGGAAGCAGTCACGTTTCTTTTGTTTTTATATTTAGCCCAAGCATATCACAAATGGGAACTCTTTGAACCTCGTACCTGTATTTGTTATTACTAGTTCTACGTGTTTCCTTCAACAATGTGAGACGTAGTTGTTGCGTTGGTTTTAAAAGTTGAACACACAAACACATCCGCGGTTTTATTTGTTTTTTGTAGTCATTAATAGCACAAGACGTAGATTCTTTCGTCTTTCGTATACAGCAGAGGTCCTCAAACTTGTTTTGTCTATTGCCCGCTTTGAGAATCAATTATTTTTAAATTTAAATTGGAGATAAGGGAAGCATCCTCTACTGAAAATGGGGAACGACTGCTGTTGTTACCAGGGTTGTGTGATATAAAAAAATGGCGTCAAGTAGTTTGTCTCTGCATGTCCTAAGCAACGAACGCGGTCATAAATTCATAAAGGATTGTATTCGGTACAAGTCTTAGAAAAAAGTTGGACACGAACATGTATAAGAAAGGAATCAAGTGGATCGCGTCAGTCAAACCGACTCGTACGTAGTCTATCGCAGATTTGAAAACATGTATAAATCATCCCTACAACTCACTACTAGTTTGAGCGATTTTGTTTTTTCTTTTCGTTTTTTTTTTGCCTGTAGCTCCACCCCCCACGGACCGATTTTCAAATCTACAAAGCATTTTACCTCATTTTCGAAATTTTTCGCGATTACAATACGTAGTAAGTGCAAGTAAAAGGGAAGAAGATTTACAGGATATCCTTAAATGTCGGAAAGCCCTGTTTGGGGTGGGAAAAACGAGTTTTGTACTATATTACAGACACAAGAGACGTTTGAATTTTTTCCGCATGCTTTCTGTAATTCAAAAATTCCAATTTCGCACCCTCTGTGCCAACTGAACGATTTTGGTGCATTGAGGTAATTTTGGACGGTGATTCGGAGAATGATCATGGAACGACTTGGAATAGACCTTTTGGCGAAAAACTATCATAAGATTCGTGATCTATGCAATCAATTTATCGAAAAAAATGGTGTCATGTAGATTCGTAAAGGATAATGTTCGGCCCATGTAAAACAGAAATTAAACGGATCAAGTCAACCAAACAGGCCCATACAATTAGTCCATAGACATCCTTTCCCTGCCCTACCGATGGTACCGTCCATCTGATAACGTCGCCCCCCTCAATACCTCACTGCTCGATGATTCCACTCTATCATCCTAAATCCCATCCAGTTTGATGAGCAAATGTACGGGGAAAGCTATAATGTTGAAGTGAGTATAAATATACAACGACCAAAATAAAAATACCCTTTCCCACCCATAATAAACCGCAACCTCCAATTTTCAATTACAACCAAAATGTTTCTGAAAATGATGAGCCTAAGAAATGTCAAAAAACGTTTACATTTGTTGCCGTTAGTTCCGCCGCCACGGGACCGATTTTAAAAGCTGCGAAGCTTTTTTTCCCTTGGCATAATGGTAACCTGGTGTGAAAATTTCATCAAGATTCGAACAGTGCTTTTCAAAATATAGACGGACCAAGGATTGGCGAATATACCGACAGAAATGAGTGATATGGTTTTTCGCGACGTACAGTAATGGGCAAAAGTAGATAGACAAATATAAACATTTACCTAAATACCTTTAGAAAACGAATTCATACTTCATTGCTCCATAAACAAATGCGTTATTAGTAGAAAAACTAAATTCCTTGTTTTTACATTATTTGCAATGAACATAATACAAAAATATGTAGACACATTCTTTTCAACATTACTTTAGTACAGTTTCGTGTCAGAAGAGGAGTAGTTTGTGTTCATCAGGTATTGTGGCATAAATTGAGTGATTTTAAGACCATGCCGCGTGGTCCAGAAATTTCTTTCGATCTGAAAGCTAAGATCATTGAGTCATACAAAGATGGTTAACGTCAAGTTGACATTGCCAAAAATTTGAAGCTGAAGCGTAAAGCAGTTTGGGCAATATTGAAGAAATATAAACAAAAAAGTATCTTGGAAACCTCTAAAAGAAGTGGTCGGCCTAGAAAGATAAATGCTAGGTCAGTTAGATTAATAAAAGTAATTTCGTCCAAAGATCCGTTTAAAACCCCAAGACAAATAAAAGCCGAAATCGAGACAAAAGGAATTATTGTCAGTATTTCTACGAAAACTATAAGTAGAAGATTAAATGATTTGAAGTTATTTGCACATCGCCCGAGTAAGAAGCCGCTAATTTCGAGGAAAAACCGTATGGACCGATTACAATTTGCACTGTTGCATCTTGATTGGAGCATCTGTGACTGGAATAGGGTATGTTTCAGTGACGAATCCAAGTTCAATATGTTTGGATCAGATGGTGTTCATTACGTTAGACGTCCTAGTGGACAAAGATTGAACCCCAAGTACACTTTGCCCACTGTCAAACATGGAGGTGGGTCTGTTATGGTTTGTGGGTGCTTTTCGGGGTTTGAGATGGGACCTTTACATAGAATAGATGGCATTATGGATAAGTTTGTATGCACAGACATAGTAAAGCTTGTCATGTTACCCTATATGGAAGACAATATACCCTCAAGATCAATCTTCCAGCAAGATAATGACCCGAAGCACACTTCAAATCTCGCAAAGAAATTCTTTCTGGATGAAAAAATATCAGCTCTCAATTGGCCTTCACAGTCTCCGGATATAAACCCCATTGAAAATCTATGGGAATACTTAGATAAGCAAATACGAGATGAAAATTATTCAAACAAGGATGAAATTTTTTGCAGCTTGTGACCAAAGTGGAGACAGATTGATGAATCTCATATCAAGGAACTTCTACAATCTATGCCGAGACGATGACAGGCGGTGATTGATAATACATACATACATACAAAATATTAACACAAACTTTTTTCTATAATTGTTTTGCTTTGTCTATATATTTTTGTCCTTCATAGTTCCAGTTTTTTCAATTAATTTTTATTGAAGGGAGTCTAATGAATTTATTTATGAATAAGTGAGTATTATGCTATAACGAATTATGATGTGTGCAGGTTGATGTATTAATAAAACAAGTTAAAAAAGAAATACAGTACAATATTAATTTGTCTATATACTTTTGTCTATTACTGTATATGTCATGTACCATCCAAAAAGCATAATATCCCATTTCATAAATTCTTCGCGATTAAAATACTTCCTGGCCAGTGGCGTAGGAAGTAAGACTCGTTGTCAACGTTCATCATGCATTCATAAACAGACGGAAACTCGTCACTAAAAATAATGTTATGCCATTCACGATCCTCATTTTCTTGGCATGGGTTCTGATGATGGACAGATAAGTCACACGCCGTCATGGAGAAAGAAGTAAGAATAAAATTTTCACGTGAACCGTACTTATGAGTTACAGGGTGCTAAGTCACGTCTTGTTGTCCTTGGAGCAGGTATGACGCCACAACGGAATATCCAGGAAATACAGGAACCTTGTCCTTTACGATTTTTCCGAACTACCTCAGTAAAGCTCAAGTCAGCCTCCTTTCTCGATCTCCTAGATCTCCAGTCCCTTCGCTCATTGAACATGCGTGATACATCATGGAAAGGAGAGTGATCACTTCATCTCACCCTTCACAAATGCTACCAGATCTTCAGGAAAAGTGTGAGCTAGTTTGGGATGAGATACCGCAAGAAGACATTAAGTCATCTCCTTAGAAGCATGTCCCGACGAATGGACGGATGTATAATAATTCAAAACTTAATCACGACTTTCTGTTGCTATTCTCACTTTTAATCAGTCACCGTGAGCTGCTCAGGTTGAAATTCCGCCCCAAGAAAATTTTTCTCTTAATCAGTGGATGTTGTGATTGACCTTAGGTGGTAGACAGTCTCGGACTATCGAACAAGGAGGTTCCATCAGGCGGATGAGGCCAAAATGTGTGCAAGTCGCATTCAGGCGTGTTCCCTCACTAGAGTCCAAGAGACGTTCCAGCTTTCCCCTAATGCCTGAACCATCAGTGTTTAGACCTTAGGCCTTCTAGGTGATTCAAGTACAAAAAAATGTATGAACCTGAATTGGTGCAAAATGTTTTGGGCCTGTTCTAAGCATGCAGAAAAAAGACCACTCAATAATAATGATTTTATCACAACAATTTTTTGTATACATGTCTGTGGGGTTAGGTAAGTGATTGATCAAAATTTCAGAAAAATCCAACTGTTGGAAAAATATGAAAAACTAATAATTTGTTGGGCCTCCACGAAGTTTCATACACTCAGAAACACATCTGGACATACTCATAATCAGATGATCGATTTCCCCCTGAGATATTTATCTCGTCCCAGGCTACATGTATCTCGTACTAAAGTGCCGCTGGAGTCTGTGGAGGATGTAGTAAACTATTCTTCCCATGATGTCCCAGACGTGTTCAATGGGTCGAAGATCGAGAGATCTTGTTGGAAAGGCGGGTTGGTGAGAGACTGTATATAAGACAAAACATGTGGTTCGTTCTCCTCCTGTTGCCTTTGATGAGCACCAAAGATTACCTTCTTTAAGCAACAACCTCGGGTACCGTGATTCAAACCGTGTGGAGCACGTTTCCATAGAAAATTGAGAACCTCGTCTTTCACATCGTCGCCTTC